TTTTTTTTTTCTGGAAGGGGAGATTCATTTGTGGGTTTTTGTGCAACGTGTTGTGGCTGCTGCTGCATTATTTTTTAAGGAAGAAACCCGGGGATGGTTGTTTACATAATTTGCAAAATGGGAAAGAGCCAAGTTTTCAGGTAGGTCTTCCTGTGCTAATTGCAGATACTTTGACAGAAAAAAGTACCAGTTAAGCCACTCTCAGACAGAGGTGAGCATTACAAATTTTAAATTTTTAAAAAGATCTTACAGCTGTTTACAGTTTTTGATAAGAGATTTGCAATTGTCCTTAACTTTCCAAATCTAGTGTCACTGATATTTAATGAACTGCAGGTTTAGTATTTTCTGAAAGGCCAGAAAAGTGGAAACTGGTCAGGAAAATCAGGAATATTGATTTAAAAAATCTGGAATAGCCAGTGGAATTATGGCAATTAATATATCAATGCAATGCTTTTTCTAAGAGGATGCTTGAAAAGAAGCTACCTGCCTTTGTGGCAGTTAGAGCACAGTGCTGGTATAACACGACTGTAATGTAATCATACACACACATTCCATATAGTGTATTTCAAGTATGCATATACTGTATGTGTGTGTGTGTGTGTGTATACACATTCACACACATTTATTTATTTGTTTGTTTGTTTGTTTGTTTATTTAAAGCATTTATATTCTGCCCTTCTCACCCTGAAGGGGACTCAGGACGGATCACAGAACACATACATCGCAAACATAGAATGCCATTAAACAGACAGGACAGACAACAGATAAAGGTATAATGTTGGCATTTCCCCCCCAACTTCAGCATCCTGGAAGTTGTGCTTGATTCTGGCCACAGTGGGGTGCTGTTGCTCCATCCTCTATGATGAAGAGCCTTGATCACATACTTCCTCCTTCCTTTGATTGCTGGCATTTCTTCTTATAATGTCATAAAATTCTTCCCCACTTAAGCGGTGCTTAATCTCTACTCACAGCTCACAGCTGTTTTCAAACTGCTTAGGTGGACAGTAAGCTGGGCTGGAGGTCGAATGCTCACCCCAACCTGGGCTTCAAACTGCCAACCTTTCGATTGATAAGACATATTGCTGCTTGTGATTAACCACGTGTGCTAAAGCCCGGCCCTAGAACACCAAAGCTTTCAACAATATGTGTGCATTATATATATGTGTGTGTGTGTGTGTATACACACACACACGTGCACACACAAGTAGACAGACACATATCATTATTATATTCTCAAGTTGAAATATTTAATTTATATAATATGGCTTTACACATTAAAACAGAATAGATTTCTCTTTCATGTCTGCTTTCAAAGATGTGGGGATCCGCATTTTTTTTATCACTCACTGGTGTCCTATTTATGGCCCATTGGCTTTGAAGTTCTTTTCTTTCTTGGAAACTCTCCAGGGAATGGCATTGGTCCATATCCCACTTTGAGTCCCATTGTTGTGTGTGATTATATTGTTTTATAATGGAGAAGTTGTTTGGTTGCTTAGGACTAGACAATTTGTTATTTCAAACAAACTAGATCCAGCTTTGCTTGCTTTGAAGATATTACCAGTCTTAGAGTCATCAGCAAATGGTGGCTGGCTGGATTGAGCTGCCCTTCCTTTATTCCTCCTGGCTAGCTATTAAATTCTGCCATAATGTTAACATGACAATAAAAACCAGAAATCAGACACAAGGCTACTTTAATAAAAGGGGGGGGGGGGGAAGGTTGAAATGTTAATCTATATTGTAAAATGTGTTAGCCTCCTCGCTATTTCTAGTTTAACAAAGAGTCCTCAGTAGACTGACATAATGGAAGAATAAAAATGTAGACATAATTTCTCTTTGTTTTAAAAAAACTATGGCATAAGGAGGTTCCTAAGACCACGTCTGATTTTCAGGTCGCTTTTTGTTTTGGAAAAAAGGCCTCTTTTGAGCCTAAAAAAGTTACTTAATGTTTCATCATTTGGAAACAACAAAGCAACAGAAACAATCTAGTTTTATATGTGATGTGATATTGGGTTTTTAAAAGAATTGTCAGAAAAATCAGCAAAGAAAATAGAAATAGAAAATAAAATCTGGGTGGCAATCTTTAATTTTTAAAAATATATATAAATATGATAACTATAAGTAGCATTTATAGATATGGTTGTTGAATAATAATTCCTCGAATATAATTTGCCATTTATTTGATATATGTGTATTCTGTTTGGTCCACCCAACAGTGCTCAGAGTAGCTTATAATATCAAAGCTATTATTTTAAAATTGTGTGCAAACATTGCATCAACAGTACACTGGTTTGATTTGTGATGAAGTGCTTCGTATGCATCTGGGAATGAGAACTGAAAATATTTATGTGTTTATTCTTTGACTTATTAGCACAGTCTAATACTATAAGTTGTGTCATGGCAAAGAAGCAAAAAGCCACTCCACATTAATCATGTATTTGCTATTCTAATAAATGTGGCGGCCTTACAAGATGTTTATGGAAATAATCCATTAGCACAATAACAAAAGCTATTAGAGGTACTTGAGAGGTTTACAGTAAGGAATTAATGACAAAGAAGACTGACGTAACTTTGCAAAGGTTCTTCAAGGTGGGAAACAAATTGTATTCCCTATTCCATAATACTGGGTTGCAATTCACAATCCAATTGTTGGACTTTTTGGCCTGAATATGATTGCGTTGAAATAAGTTCTCTTAAAGTGACTGAAATTTGCTAGCATTTTTATGTTATTAGTTTTGCTAATTTTAACTAATGCAGATAGAGAATAAATTTAACACAGGAGATTAATGCAAACCGATTTATAGATTTGTGGCTAAGTTATCCTTCCAATGTATTGTCAAAGGCTTCCATGCCCGTAATCACTGGGTTGTTGTAGGCTTTTCAGACAATATGGCCATTTTTTAGAAACATTCTCTCCTGACGTTTCACCAAACGCAACACCCAAACATAAATCAAGGAACATGAAAGGCACTGCAGACTACTTCAACCAGAAAAGTCAGCCATAGCAGAGCACCTGATGAACTAATCTGGACACAGCATGTTATTTGAGAACACAGAAATGCTGGACCACTCTAACAACCTTCATGTCAGGCTACACAGAGAAGCCATTGAAATCCACAAGCATGTGAACAATTTCAACAGAAAAGAAGAAACCATGAAAATGAACAAAATCTGGCTACCAGTATTTAAAAAAACTCGAAATAAAGAACAACACTCCAACACAGGGGAACTCCAGACAAGAAACAATCAGGGACAGCTAATCACCTCTCAACAAAGGATTCTCCCAGGTACTAACAAGCCATGCCTAAAAACTGTCAGGCCATCAAATGCTAATCAAGGTGGCCAATGAAATCCTTCACACCTAGCTCCAACAGACAAGAGTTCTTTCTCCCACCCTGGACCTTCCACAGATATATAAACCCAATTTTCGTGGTTTCCAACAGACCTCACAACCTCTGAGGATGCTTGCCATATCCAGGCAAAATGTCAGGAGAGAATGCTTCTAAAACATGGCCATATTATTACCCTTTCAAGTTAGTGTCATTGAACAGGACATAAAAATAAAAACATAAAAACTAAAGCTGGACAATGGGCTCTAGTTTTACCAAGGCAGAGGCAGAATTCCAAATGTTCTGAGAGAGAAAAAATCAGGTTGTTTTGCTAAGATTTACAGTCTAACGAAATAAAAACAGAATGGTGAAAACAGGACTCTGTGTAATAAGGAATGTTCTCAACATTAAGCTTCAATGTGATTTCCAATGCATTATTCAGTATCTAAAACTGCCGTCATGCAGTTAGCTCAGGTGCAGGATGTATCAGCTTTTCATATTACCCTAAGATTTGTCTTCCCTGTAGTGTGCCTACAAGATCTCATCACTTTGAAATCACCCTCAAAAAGGTCACTTTGACAGCCAACCTTCAGCCCACAAATGTCATGTCTGCCTTCTGAGATGCATTAAAGGTCATGGGGTGGGGAGTGGGGGAGTTCAAAAGAGAAAGAATGGAATGATATTTCATTAGATATTTAAAAGATATTTTAAAAATTTAAATCCAGCTGGGGTTTTAAAAATGAGAAGCAGTGCACCATTTCCAGTGCTCACTAATTCATGAATTGGAAGGAAAGAGAAGTAATTTGTCTCTTGACGTATACATGAGTAGCTCTTGGTGGACAAAGAGTAACATCTGGTCATTCACTTTCTGACCGTTATACTCAGGGATAGAAAATGAAACACAAACCAGTCAGGCAGAGTCAGCAAAGAACAGTTTACAGAATTGGCATAGAAGGAAATTTATTCTTTTTTTCTATCATACAACAGCATTACAGTACTTTACAATTAGATTGGGTTGAGAACCACTTGTACGTTCTATTATAAAGCATTATCTAAATTCTTACCCGAAATAAACACAACTCACCAGTGTTCAAATATTGTTTGTAAAATTGTTTCCTACACAAAATATTGAACTCTCTAAAAAGTAAGGATTAAGCAGGATTCTGAAAGCAGAGTTGGCTGAAGTGTTTTGATTCCTTAGGCTCCAAGTGTCCCTTTCACAGCCTTGTTGCAACTTCACAGTTCATGTATTTTATTATTTTATTTTATTTGTCCAGGATGCTGGGAATGAGTGGTTTTTAATTATACCCTGCCATTACCTGAAATAGGAAACATTGTGGGGTTTTTTTATTGGAGGATGCTCTGACTTTTTGGCTGCCATGGTATTTTGTGAGTCATGGAGAGACTCACCTGCACAACTGGCTGAGAAGAAACCTTTGAGGAATGTTGAAGGAATAACAACTGGCCATATTTGTAGTGATGGTATTTGCAAGAAGTATTTCAGTGGAAAAAAAACACTAGTGATTTTCTTTCTCATTAGGAAGTTCAAACATGCTGGGCTACATTCACCATTTCACTTACATGTTGCAGGTTTATGCCTATCCAAATCTGTTAAAGTGTCCTTCAAAACTCCTGCACATAGTTAGGCAGCATACTTCCCACTGATATCAATGATATCAATGGTAGGATGTCATAGGGGTAATGCAAGTAGTTATACCTCCACACTGTAGCCCCTTTCAGCTCATTGTAACCAGAAGTGGTGGGCTGTTTATTTTTTTTATTTTTTTGTCTTTAACCTCCATTCCCCAATTCACTCCAATGGATGGGAAGAAAATGACTAAGTTAGATCCATAGTTGGGAGAGCTCATGTCCAGAGGAAGTAAAAAATTCAAAAATTTTGAAGGTGGAACACTTGAGTTTTTGATTTGCAAGAATGATAACATCTTATGCTCCATACATTTCTCATTTCTCTCTGAGTTAAGCAGCAATGGAGAAAGTCATGAATTTTCTCAGCAACAATATATCATTGTGAGCAGAGCATGAAAAAAGGAGGTGGGATAAACTGCAAATCCCAGAATTTTTCGGTTACTCAGGTCTAATTTCTCTAATTGTTTTTATTCTGTATTTTAGTTGCTGACTCCATCTTCTTCTCTTTTCCTGTAGGCTTTATTTAACATTTGTATTTCTTCTTGATAACCTTCTTTCTCCAGATGTTGCTTTTTACTATTCTGCCTGTGAGCTTCCACAGTATCAGGAATGGATATATTAATATCACTGTTGGGATTGTTCGATGGTATGAAGAGTGAATAGGAAGCCGTTTCCCCTAAATCGCAGGAGACAAATCTGTTTTCTTTCCGAGAATAACGCAGTGATGGAGACCGGACTTGAGTAGATGACTGGCTGATATTACTGATGATTGATACCGTGTCCATAGCTTCTTCGTTGTCACAGATTTCAAGCACTTCTAAGTGAATCTTCACACTTGTGTCAGCAAAGGTGGTTGGAGAATCCTCAGGGTTTGGCTCATGACCCACACTCTTAGAGCGATACACTTCGATTTTCTTTGATGTGGGTGTGATTTTCTGTCCTTCTGTGCTTACCTCATATGTTGACAAAGAGAGGGTTTTTCCAGTGGGTGCATGGAGAGAGACGGTCCCTTGAAATGCACACAAAGGAAGGGCTAATGCACCGCCAGAACGCTGGAAAGAAAGAAAATTGCTATTATTTAATCTGGTTTCCACAAGTCAAGAATCCATTGTCAAAAATAAAATTACTTCTCACTTATTCTTTTCATTGCTGTGCACTGAGTGAGCTTTCTTTTCTCTCTCTTTCTCTCGTGTCTTCAGTTTAATCAACAGCATAAAACACTTTTGCATGTTAAAAACTTTACAATTCTTTATGCTGACTTATAACAACACAATACAAGATCTTCCACATCAGATTGTCCATAGCATAATTTAAGTCTCTTCTTCCTAATTCGCCAAGCTGGAGCACATAAAATTTTAGTTCTTCTCTCTTTCAGGAGTTTCTAAACCAAGATGCACAGACCATGGGTTCAAGTTAATAAATTAAATAACAAATACATGAGGAATTGGAAACATGTTAGATAGGAGGAGAAAGATTAGGAAGTCCCTCCATCAGCTGCCCCATATAAGCAAGAGTCCATTGCATCATAGAATCATAGAATAGGAGGAGACCACATGGGCCATTCGGTCCAAACCCCAATCTTCCATACCAGAAAAAGCACAATCAAAGCACCCCAGATAGATGGCCATCTAGCTTTTACTTAAAAGCTTTCAAGGAAGGATCTTCCTTCACACTTCAAGGCAGATAGTTCCATTGTTGAACTGCACTTATGGTCAGGAGATTCTTCCTAATTTTGGGTGGAATCTTCTTTCCTGTAATTTGAATCCATTGCTCTAAGTCTTAAGTCTCCAGTACAGCCTCCAAACCTTCAACGTCTGTACCCAGGTTTCACCTAACTGCATCTGACAAAATAGGAATTTTCTAGATTCTCCAGGAAGATACTATTCTGCCAGAAATTAGTACAGAGTAATGACAAATTCCTAGATATATACCTTTTAATGAATTTTTAAGGTTAGCCAATGCAACTTCTGGAAGAAGACATTCATTTCAATAGGGTTTGCGATTATCCATATTTTTCTGTTTCCATAATAAGTTCAAGCATATATCCCCAGTTGATACAAATTTCTAACACAAGTGAAATCAATTGTTATTTTTCTTCCTTTCTTTTCCCCATATGAAAATTTTGAAATTAATCGCCAGATGAAATGTATACACTGCAGTGCCCTAGTAGCCAACCACCTGGCACTGTCATGACTCCTGCTGCAAACATCTGGGAGTTCTGTGCTCGGGCTCTGTGTGTCTACATTTCTCTGAATGTTAACAGCCTGATGTTTTTCTAAAATCTATTTAATGCATCTGAAGTGCACAGAAAAGGGAGGTGAATGAAGACAGATGGGTCTATCACACACTGAGTCCAACATGAGAAAACTAACTTCAGGCTGGTATAATTAGATTACTAGAAGACAGAACACATTAGAATTCTTGGGATTCTTCATGAGAACAAACACTTGCTTAATGCAATAGATATCTGAAATCATTTGGGGCCTGTTTTCCTCTTGCTCATAGCCAGGAATACTAACTAAGAAAACAAAAAATGTAATTAAGTTGTGATTGTCTCTGATGTTACTCAATTCCCCCCACCCCCATTTGTCTGCTGTCTAAAATATCATCGACATTTAGGTTTGGAGAAAGTGGTAGGAAGACGTTTTCACCTTCGGACACTACTGAATTATAGAGTTATCTGCTCAAGCTGGATAATAACATAAAGATGGGTCCAAGGAATTACTATATCTTCACTATCTAGTTAAATAGTGGAATTCACTGTCACTAGATATAGTGCTTCCTTCAACTTGGATGGTTTTAGAAGAGTGTTGGATACATTCATTGAGCTGACAGGGCCATCAGTAGCTACTAGGTAGGATGACTATATATCCCTTCTAATTTATTTATTTATTTATTTATTTACTCCTTTTGTATACCGCATTTATCAGCCTTACGGCGACTCAATGCGGTTTACAGTAAAATATAAAACACTGACAATATATAAACAGACAATCACAGACAACACACATATAGTCATCAACGCCTCAAATGGCTGATTCATATAATTCAGGACTTCATGAAAATGCAATTCTGCAACAGTCACGCATAAATAGTGGAGACAAACTCGGCTGAGCACCTTTGATATCGCATTTCTCTTAAATTGCACAATTGCACCAGTTCATCAACTTGTGGTTCCATGATTATGCTTCTGCATAACCTTTTCTTTTCATTTTTAGAACAATTTTGCAATTCCAGCTTTGAAAAACAGACAAAAATGGCTAATATGACTATAAATATAAAATAAACAAAAATTTGATAACTTGGGAATAGTAAGTGGAGGATGGAGGCGAATCCTACCACCTGACACCATTTTACTGCTGGCATGCTGGAGCAGAAGTGGGAAACATTGTGGAATTGGGTACTGTTTACAAGTTGTATCCATTAATAGCTAGGGACAGGAGAATTATGGGGAGGAGATGGGCCATCAGTGAGATGCATTCTGAAGTAGGGACAGTGGTGAAAATCCAGCTGAAAAGCCAAGTTGCCTGCCCTCCACAATAAAGTCCTCAGTATGGATATCATTTGCTGGAAATGTAAGATAGAAAGTCAGTTGTACACATGCCCTACTAATAGGCTTCCAATAAGTAACTGGTCAGCTACTGGATGAGCAGGATATTGGAATTGATGGATATATGGTCTGATAGAGAAGGTCTCTCATGCTCTTACATAGATGCATGGAGTCCCCATCCATTTGATTGTGCACTGGGCAAGATCATAGAATCCCTGAGTTGGAAGAGACCTCATGGCCAGGACCCCCAAAGTCATCGTTAACTTAAACTCCAGAGTTTGTAATTGGGCTTCAAATCATGCACTGGTCCAAATGCTGCTGGATTGTAATTGCAATGATTCCTCACTATGGCTATGCTAGCTAAGGCTGTTGGGACTCACATATCAATGAGAACCACATTTATAGAAACTTGGACTGGAAGTCTAAGAGGGTCTAGCCAAAATAGGCAATAGTGAGGAACTCTGAAAGCTGGCTCACTGAGACTGTTCTTTGAAGCCCCTTTCTGAATTTGATCTCCATTGATACTGTTTGAACAGGGCTTAATTTCATCACAAATGTGAAATAAAAAATAGCAGGTGTGACTGAATTTTAAAAGGACATGGAGCTAGAAAAGAAAATACATTTTATTGGAAAAAAGATACAATTTTCCCCTGTTCACATCTTAATTTGAAATACTCTGAAAAATACTGTAATTCTTTTCTCAGTAGCAGGTTCTTGTCTTTCTACGTTATTACACAAAATGTACTTGTAAGACTACTTTAAAAAGCATTAGGGACCTATATACCAATTAACTGAATATTTCTCCTGCCTCACATCATGCACTACTTTTATTTCTTTAAAAGCATAATTGTATTTATTCTTTGAAAATAAAAATGGAGGAGGAAAGTAAGTAATGCACAATGTGTTTATTTAGGTCTTGATTAGAGCAAAAGAATTCAAATGCACCAGGTAAAGCATCTTTTCTTTATTAAGAAAGGATGAAGCAATTTTCTAAATGGGAAAATCTTTTCTAAGCATAGCCATGATAGGAAAAATATCTTTTTTAGTCACTAATTCCCTTGGCTCTTTATTATTTGGTTAGTCTAACACCATATTGGTTGAGATTATTACTACTGGTCTCATCTGCCAACCTTAGAATGAGAATTCTCATTTGCACTGAACAAATCAGTTGTACTTATTTTATCTGTCATGAGTCATACTACTCTAATTTAAAAGTCAGGAAGATCTCTGAAACTATTATCACAATTCTATCTGGCAAGTGATTATTGTGAAACTGTATGTTGGCGGTGAAACATTGATCTCATTTCCTAAACCTATTTATTTCAGAGTAAACCTATCTGATTTCAAAAGGATTGACTTCCAGGAAAATGTGATGATGATTAATAGTAATAATACTAATACTAATAATAATAATAATAATAATCTTTATTTATAACCCACCACCATCTCCCCAGGGGGGACTCAGGGTGGCTAACATGAGGCCAAGCCCAAAATAATACAACACATTTAAACAGAAAAACAAAATACATCATAACAACAAATATGAAATAACACATGAAATCAATGATGAGAGCTGGGTTATTATTAGGACAAAAAATTATACACACATGGATAGTGGGGGGTTGAGTGAAGTCAAAAAAGAAACCCTGGTTTCTATGTCAGAATCACTCCAAATAATAATAATAATAATAATAATAATAATAATTATTATTATTATTATTTCTGTTTACCATTGATCATACTCTCAGCTGCTGCAAGAAAATCGCACAAATGGACTATACACAGAGGCAAAACTCTGTGGCCTAAATTATTCATTGGAACTTATATCTCAAGTACCACCTGCCAGTAGTAAAGAACTGGAGGGGTCATAAACCTGCAAAGATATTGGAAAATGAACACGCAAAAATACTGTGGGACTTTCAAATCCAGACTGAAAAAGTTTTGGAACACAATATGTCAAACATCATGACTGTGAACAAGAAAAAAGTTTGGATTATTGATGTTGCCATACCGGGTGACAGTTGCATTGGGGAAAAACAACAGGAAATACTCAGCCGTTATCAGGACTTCAAAATTGAACTGCAAAGGCTCTGGCATAAACCAGTACAGGTGGTCCCAGTGGTCATCAGCACACTGGGTGCCGTGCCAAAAGATCTCAGCCAGCATTCGGAAACAATAAACATTAACAAAATCATGATTTGTCAACTGCAAAAGGCCACCTTACTTGGATCTGCATGCATCATTTGAAAATACATCACACAGTCCTAGACGCTTGGGAAGTGTTCAACTTGTGATTTTGTGATATATGACATCCAGCATATAGATCTTGTTTGCTGTTACATACTGTGGTTTTGTATTATCTCTGTTGTTATGGTTACTTCAACAGCCTTCTGTCCTCCTCGATAACGCACAAGTGCACTTTATGATCTGTGACACACTGGAAGGATTAAGGGGGGTTGAAGGGCAGAACCCACAGGTCCTAGATGCCTACAGTTACAATCA